CCTTCTCAATGCCCGGGCATCCATCCAATGCATTCTTCTCTATCTTGTACCGGGTACACTGAAGACCAACTGAATCTCGATAAAGAAAGAGAAGTACAAAAGAAAGAATGAAACTCGCATACCGTTCATCTCAATCGCACTTCTCTTATGATATTTCTTGGTTAAACCGTCCGTGGCAATGTAGGACCAATGGTAACAGAGGTCCGAGTCACATCAGGCTCTGAAAGAGTGGTTTTTGCTTGTGCTTCATCCTCTTCTCTTCCTTCTTTAGGTTGCTGCCTATCGACTAGTGGAGATAACAAGGCCATGAATAAAGTGTAGTAGTGGTCCTTATATATCGTATTAACAATCGAAAGAAAAAATCTCTATTTGACAGGGCGAGAAAGGAAGTAGTACCAGAGGATTGATTCTAGTGAAAGAGCCTACTCCTTCCATCTGCCCGCTTTCAATCCTTTAACTGCAACCATGCTTGCCAGAGTTCTTGCTTCCCTTGTTTCCTTCCTGGTTAACTGGCCCCTTGCTTCTTTCATTCCTTCCCTTGGGACTGGCTAGCTTGTTGAAGGCCGTAATCCAAACAGCTTTTCCCTGATCTACGACCACCCTTTGCCATTCTTCTCCGAAGTTGGCTAATCTTCCAACCAAGTAGTGAGAATATGAAAGGTCAGCATGTAGATGATTGGCTGCCGTTATCAGGTCTTCGAATTGAGTTGGAAGACGAATTAGATCTTGGGGCCATGTAGCGTTTTGGACAGCTTCCCTTGTTAAGGAGTATAGTGTATTAAGCATGGGATTCACCACTCCTATATATCGATTGTCTACCTTGCCCATGACCGGCACCCTTTTTCCTTCCTCACCCTTGACTTTCTCTTTCTGGGACTCTCTATTTTCGCTTTCGACTAATTCTGTTCGGGAACCAGTCTTCCACGCCACCTGTGGTTTCCGGGCATGGTCGTTCTGCTTGGGACATGTCTGCTACGTCTCCAGCGTTCTCGGGCCCTCGCCCCGAAGCAAGGCAAAAATCGAGCATCGAAGTGAGCATATAAGAAGAAGTTCAAAAAAACTAAGTTAATGGGCGACCACCTTCAACATGAATTACTTTCTGGAAGCAGGCTATGCCGCCACACCTCCCCTGTGAAAGAGGGCTACGCAGCTGATTCGGTTAATCACATGTCAGAACAAGCGCTAGGGATCTCTTTTTCATTACCAAGACGGAGGCTTCGGGTCACCCTTTTTCTTCTTTCTTTGCTCTTCGGAGTCTAATAAATCATTTTTTTATTTAATGGAAATGGTCCATGTCTGCTTCTTCTTCTGTACGGCCATATGACAAGTCATTTGCGAACATTTCGGGAACCTTTGGTGGTCTTTTTGTTCCAAACATCGCATCCTGCTGGTTTCTTTTTAAAAGAGCTAGCTCATTAGCTATCTGTGAGTGGGGCTTGTTGAAAGCATCTACTCGAGTGTATCGAGAAAGGTACCAGTCATCTCAACATTCCAAATTCCTATGTTTCTAGCCAGCAGCCTATTACGTAAACAGCTTTGTCAACTAAGACATATACATTGGAAAACTAATCCTTTGGCCAGGTTCAGTAAATATAAATCGCAGGAAAAACCTGTGGTGGGGAGATTAGTAAGGCAAGGCTTCCCTCTACCTTCCATCGGCTTAGAAGTTAAAAGGCGGGGGGCCGGTGATCTAATAGTGTAGAAAGAAGAGAACTTCGTATTTTGGTAATTCTCTAGGAGTCATGTTTAACCTTGAATGCTATTAATAAATTCTACAGCAATAGTCCCTCGGACTCGGAAAGTAATAACGAAAATGGCTAACCCAATAGCGGATTCCGCAGCTGCCACCGTTGGAACCAATAAAGCAAATAATTGACCCATCATATCATCCAAAGAAACAGAAAAGACCAAAAAGTTCAAATTCACAGCTAATAACATTAATTCAATTGGCATTAACATAATAGGAATATTTCGTCTATTAAGGAGGATTCCCCAAATACCTAAAATAAAGATGATCATAGAAAATGTGAAATATTTAAGAGTAGACATTGATGGTATTCGTGAACCTGTTTCTGGATCTTATGGAAACAATATCATTTCTGGTGCCATTATTCCTACTTCTGCGGCTATAGGGTTGCACTTTTACCCAATATGGGAAGCGGCATCCGTTGATGAATGGTTATACAACGGCGGTCCTTATGAGCTAATTGTTCTACACTTCTTACTTGGTGTAGCTTGTTACATGGGGCGTGAGTGGGAACTGAGTTTCCGTCTGGGTATGCGTCCTTGGATTGCTGTTGCATATTCAGCTCCTGTTGCGGCGGCTACTGCTGTTTTCTTGATCTATCCAATCGGTCAAGGAAGTTTTTCGGATGGGATGCCTCTAGGAATCTCTGGTACTTTTAACTTTATGATTGTATTCCAGGCTGAGCACAACATCCTTATGCACCCATTTCACATGTTAGGCGTAGCTGGTGTATTCGGCGGCTCCCTATTCAGTGCTATGCATGGTTCTTTGGTAACCTCTAGTTTGATCAGGGAAACCACAGAAAATGAATCCGCTAATGAAGGTTACAGATTTGGTCAAGAGGTGGACAGCTTGCTCTCCCTCAAGCCTATTCCCCTCCTGATCATGAATACATAACACCTTATTCCTAGATCTATTACCATTCATCTTTTTTTTATCCTGGCTTAAAAGACTCCTGCTTCAATGGTACTAGCGGGAATGAAAGAAGACTCGGACAATGCAAAGGAATAGATAAAGGGACGGGAAAGCAAGAATAGGCTGACATCATCATTTTTTGGATTCGCTACATGAATTAGTTCAGTGAGGGGGGATCCGACTCAGATAGAAGGGGGAATAGACTGGAATCCTTTGCTATTACCATTTCTCGGCCTAAGGACTGCCAGACAAAACTGCCTCGCCATGTAAAAAGGTAAAAAGATCTCTGAGAGCCGTTTCCTGGATCCGAAAGAGAGTACTTGGGTTCTCCCAATAACTAAAAAGTGTATCATGTCTGAATCTAACTGGGGTTCGCGGTGGTGGAGGAACTGGATCGGAAAAAAGAGGGATTCTAGTTGTAAGATATCTAATGAAACCGTCGCTGGAATTGAGATCTCATTCAAAGAGAAAGATATCAAATATCTGGAGTTTCTTTTTGTATATTATATGGATGATCCGATCCGCAAGGACCATGATTGGGAATTGTTTGATCGTCTTTCTCCGAGGAAGGGGCGAAACATAATCAACTTGAATTCGGGACAGCTATTCGAAATCTTAGTGAAAGACTGGATTTGTTATCTCATGTTTGCTTTTCGTGAAAAAATACCATGGAGGGTTTCTTCAAACAACAAGGAGCTGGGTCAACTATTCAATCAAATGTCCTAATAGCTACTTCCTTGCCTTAAGAAGCTCCCAGGAAAGCCTGCTTTATATAGAATAGAAGACTTTTTTCTTTCTGCCACTCAATCAGAAGTGTTATACTAATAGGTTGATGCTTTCGCTTAAGCAAATGGTGCCTTTTGGTCCCGTCTCCTTTTGGGCCCATTGGTAGCATAGGAGAACCCGACGTAACTAGAGAGTAGTTGTCGGCAAATCAAGTCAAGATCTTTCCTTTTCCCGGAGCGCCTTCCTTAAGCGTCTGCGTCTGGTGCCTCGGAGCCTGCGGTATAGAGAACGGATCTGAATCAATATCGAATGCAACCTCTCCCGCCGTGGAACTGTTTCCGTTTTTCAATCGAGGTATATTGTAGTTTCCTCGGGTCTTGCCGCCCCACCCCTTTTTTACCCATAATCAGGTTTTTCCCATCCCAAGATAATAGAAGAGGCAAAAGAGGACCCATACCATAGCCATAGATAGGTAGGAAGGGACAAGATTGGAATAGAATCAAGTTGGCAAAGCAAAACCACTGCTGAATCTGGACTAAGCCCTCACCCTCACTCTGAGGCTCCTCAGGGAAAGAGAATAGGAACAGATAGGAGCACTTAGACTTGGTTGGAGGCCTGACCTATCTATAAAGAGGCTTGTAGCTTCACCAGAATCAGATGCATATGCCGTGGATCATCTGGCTTTCAATTCCGAAGCATTCCGCAGCAAGTAGTAAAGAAGTGATCGGGCAAAATCGGCCCTCAATCCCGATGACTTTAGGTCTCCACAAAGCTTAGAAAGTCGAAGTGGGCACCGGGTAGTAAGAATATTCGCCGACCGGTGTTCATATTAAACACCGCCGGAGGCTCAGCGGGAGCTAGGAGAGCATTTGCCTCTTCCGAAAAAGACATCGAGTTTTCAGTCGTGGGAATCCTCCTCCTGGGGATGAATTGCCTTCGATCATCTATCGGATCGTGGAATTCCCTATCAAAAAAGGGGAAGGAGGAAGAATTAGTGTTCGAGTGTTAATTAGTCGGAAACGCATGCGGGATCGGAAGTCTTCGACTCAGGCTCAGACGAACCGAGAGTCCTGTCTATCCTTAGTCACAGCGAAAGACTTCTACTTTTGAGCTATACCTCTGCCCATAAAAACAGGACTTTTTGATCTAAAAAAAGAAAACGCCCACTATAGGATGGACTTCTTGCTCAGTTTCGTGGTCAGAAGATCAACATTCAGAGTAGCATTTTTTTTCAGGAAGATATGCCCTTCTTGGTTCATTCCTGAGTTTTCTTTCGCCCTTTTCCCGCGCTTAGCAGGCTCGGTATGATATGGTTATTGATTCCCATTTTCAAGAATAGGGGAAATTCGAAAACAACTGTAAATGTAGGTGCAGATACGAACTAGAAAGCACCATTGCATAGGGAAGGCTTTCTCTGCCAATGAGTAGGCTACACTAGTCTACGGGTACCTAGTCTTTAAAGTGGGCGAGGCTAACCCTAAACTTTCTTCTCAAAAAGAGGTCAATCTTCCTGATCAATAGCTCTAGATCTTTCAAACAATTGATTTGGTAGGGTACCCTTTCTTCATAGAAAGGGCATTTGGCTTTCCTTTTCTTTCTAATGAAGGGTTCGTTAAGGGCCTCTCTTAGACTTCTTTCCTTCCATTTCTTGCTTATTTAGATCGTGTTTTGAAATGAAATCCGTCTTTCTTTCAGGTTGTCTTTCTGTTGTGTTCCTGGAATAATGGTATACAAGAATAGATTGCCTTTTAGGAGTGGAATTGGGTACCTGTCCCAAGGTTTTCCGCGAAAGACCTACCTTAGATCTCGACTGTGATCCCTGGGTACCCTCGAGGAGAGGCTGGGGAATGTAGTTACGGGAGTTGGAGTGCGATTAGCCCGTTCGTTAGATCAAGGAGAGGCGGGATGTAGTTGGCTCTTGTCTTGAGGTCACGGGTTGCATTGGTAGCCAGAGACAGGTGGTTACGAGTTTCATCCCTTAGTGCTTAGAGAGAGGGTGAAGAATGGCGCCCAAGGGATGAGATCTTAGCTCGTTGTGACCGATATTTGTCTTTGTTTTGGCTGCCCTGGCTTGTATCGCTAGTTAGAAAGGTCTAGTAAGGTAATGTCTGAATCCTTAGGCACTTAGAGTGATTCGAAACATTCTGAATTTCAACAAATGAGATTTTGTAGGCTTGCCTTAGTTGTCTGCTATAAGATAGCTAGTTTTGGGGCTTTCGACATAAAAAAGCCTATCCGGCTTGGCTTCGCTATCGCTCATGACTTGTGTATTGTAGTCGGCCCGGAATGCCTCTTTAGTCTTTATAATGCTAATGCCTTCTTAAAACTATGTAGTTCACAGTGCTTATTCTATAGATAGTGTAAAAACCAACTCCCATTCATTCGAAAACTATTGATCAGTATGACCGTACTTTTAATTACTTGCTTGCTTTGGAATTGGAAGGGGGCTGCCCTCTTTCTTACATCTGTGGATACGTTGGTAGACTGCATCGAGATGGCCCTTTCCCTCATGGAAAAGAATCGAAGGCGGTGCCGGCCCTTCGCAACTTCCCGATCTAAATCTCCCCGCGGCTGAGGTACAAGATCATCAAAAAATGACACGGCTGAAAGCCCGAGTGAAGTTCTTAGAATTAGCGCAAGATTTTCTTATCTGGCAAATAAAAGCTATGCAATTCTTACAAGACGTTGCCCGGAAGCGGGAGGGCAACTAGCGCTTGGACTTGGAAGCAAGCTACAGCTACCTTGAATCAATCAATGAATGAAAAGAAAGCGCTTACCGAGGGGCGAAGCGGCGACTCGACTGATAAGGAGAGGAAGAGCTCAGGAAGGAAAGGTTGGTTCGAGGACCCCTTGGTCAAAGGAAAGGGGAGGTCCTGATTCCGGGACAGAGCCGTATGACGCGAGAGTGTCACGTACGGTTCCTTTGAGAAGGGTGTGATACCACCACCTATCAGGCCCGACGAGCGGTCCACGGAGCTGCATCCCTACTCACCTGGTCCATGCACATCGCTCTCTCCAGGAGGTTGGCCGCCTATCCTAGATCTTCCCATTTTCAAGAAGATCCCGGGCTCGATCCGGTTTAGTATCAAAGTGATTCTCTTTCTCTTTCTATATATATGGGTCCGTGCAGCATTTCCACGATATCGTTATGATCAATTAATGGGACTTGGCCGGAAAGTGTTCTTGCCTCTATCATTAGCTCGGGTAGTCCCCGTTTCTGGTGTTTTAGTCACCTTTCAATGGCTCCCTTAATTATGTGCAAGGAATTTCCCTCTTGAGTAATGGGAAAAGGGCTAGTCCCCGAAAATGCCCGTTTGTCGTTGGGGCATCTTCTTTGGCTAATTGTGAAATCATCTGCTCTTGGCATATCCCCTCTTCTTTCCCCAGGAGCTCAACCAGTAGCCGGTGTTGGAGGACTGGCTATTGAATCAGCTGCTACTGTTGTCGTATCCCTATACTTATTGGATTCTGGCCGGCTTAAAGATCTAATTGCATGGATTTCACCTATCTTATGCATCTAGGTAAGCAGCATCCACGGGATTAGCCCCATTTATGGTTGATCACCTTCTGAACCGAAACCCCTGCTTTGAAACATGTGCGGCTTCCGATGTAGGGAATAAACGGCTTGCTCGCCATAAATGTCAAGATTAGCCTACTGAACGATTTCATCTATCACTTACGTCATTTCTCAAGGTAAAAAATCCATAACATAATTGTTGCATTAAGTCATCGTTCGCGTCATCCAACATGCGCAGCTAAAGGAGTGTGCTTAGCCGAGTCCGGCCGGCGAGCAAGAAGGACATGAGAGGCATAGAGAGGACTCCAGGACAAGACACGACTCAGACCCCGGCAATTTGATCTTCATTGGCCTTGCTGTCCGCAGATCGGTTACTCTCCTTTGAAGGTGAAGCCCGTTTGAAGGCAAGTCATGGTATCCGGGATCGGACATCGAAAGGGAAGGCGAGGTTTCAAAGTCTATTAGGGAAGCGGGCCCCTACTGGTAGTGATACCCCGATCTCATGGATGAAGGTTAACGTTTTCTATTGGAATAGAGGGATGTGCAGATCAATTCAACTTTTCACTTTGCCATCTAGAGATAGTTTGCCGTGAGTTAGGATACAGAGTTGGAAGAGAATGCCAGTATATCAGTTCATCTTCATCAAAGGCCAAGGGCCAAGAGAAGCTCAATCGAAAAGAAAAAGACTTCTGCTATTGATTGATTTAGTCGGTCGAGATCAAAGAATTAAGGGTTCCAAACCCGCACTCGAAGGAAAAGCGGATTCACCTATCTTTTATACGATATTGATTGAAGTTGCCAGAAAAGGCGAACTTGAAAGAGCTTTCTTTTGACCAGACTTGATTGTGCGAAAGCGGTTCCCCTGATTCAGCTTTGACTAGCCAGCCGCATTCGTTAGCGAAAACAAGGATTAGACTACTCTAGAGAAAGGCAGGGGGATGGTGAACAGCATTGATTGTTGCCAGCCTTGATGAGATTATTGATACCCTTCTTTCTATTATAGGATACGTAATCGACTTTCATTGCCCAACTAAAAGAAGGTATGGTTGTGCCTGAAGAAGGGCAGTCAGAAGAGGAGAAATCAGCCTGAGTTCAATTAGTCCCAGCGTTATCAGTACAAGTAGCCGGAGGAGTGTACCGAGGGAGGAGAAGCGGGAAGGAGGAGCAGTCCCAGCACGACAAGCACAATAAAGAAGATCCGAGTTCATCTATCGTTTTCTTTTCGCACATAAGATGGAGGCAAACAACTGTTTATTCCCGGAAAGACAACAAACACTTCCTTTTCTACAATATTGGATTCTAGTTTAACCAGCATCTAATTGCATGGATTTCACCTATCTTATGCATCTAGGTAAGCAGCATCCACGGGATTAGCCCCATTTATGGTTGATCACCTTCTGAACCGAAACCCCTACTTTGAAACAGACCTTTTGATGAGGGAGAGCCTGAGATCATAGAGTAGGGAGAGGGAAGGGGGTGTGAAATCATCCACCATTCTTCAATCAATTTACTGAGATACCACCACCCGATTGTCCGCTAGGGATATAGAGACAATCAGTCTTTTCTCCTTCATTTTTGAGGAGGAGGAGTCGGACGAAACACATAAAGGGCGCACTCTAAGCATCTTTCGACGCGACCCTGAAATGATGTCTTCTAACCCTGAGATGAGGGGAATAAGCAAAAGCCACTGTCCAAAGAGGTGATGGAGTTGGGGAAAGGGAAAGACCAGCCACTACCTCTTTTCTACGAGATTGTCCGATATTTCTTTTTTGAATATAAAATGATTTTGTTCCGTCCCCCACCAAGAGGTTCAGGTGCTGAAAGGGATGCCCGAGTCAGGGATGCCGAAGGAAGGGTATCGTATCGGGGAGAAAAGGAGCCTTTCTTTAGGCCACTCCATTCCCAGCTGATAGCAAAGCCATCAATGTTGAACAAAGCCCAACCTTATGGAGCAAGGAAGAAGGAGGGAAAACGATTACTGCCAAGCGGTCACCTACTAAGACCAAACAGTCCTACCTTAGCGTACCGGACTACTTCAATGCATGAGGTAGGGGGTCGGGAAGAGATCCAATTCGGCCTGGTTCACCGGCATATGAGATAAAGGAAGGAGTGCCACCAATAGAAGATGGCGGGAAGAGAAGCAATTGACTGACTTGGGGTTGGAGAAGGAATCCGAGTTCCACATATGACTAATCAAAGTATAAGTTCGGGGCATAATCACTAACGAAATGGAGAGATATGTCTTTGAAACAAGCTGCTTTGATTATTGATCACCTTCTCCTTCTATCATCGGGACAGGCGCTAGCCTGATGAACGAAAAGATGCGCCAGCTTTCTCTGATGGACATGAAAGTGGAGAGTGAGAGGGGAGATTCCCCACAAGATGAGAATAGATCTCGGTCAGGACGAGAGCAGTAGCTCATGCGAATCTGAGAGCGGATACACGACTTTGACCTTATTTTGGAGCCTGCAGGGTGTCGAAGTCCTATTAGGAGACAGTCCGGGGGCAGAAAAAGGCCAGGGGCCAATGAACCAAAGCCGGACTCCCTCTTTCTACTCCATGATCTCATGTTCTTCTTTTTCCCCGTCTACTATCCAAATGAAATGTCTTTTGTTTGCTTGCGCATTCCCTTCATCGATTCTTCACCAAAGTTAAGGAAAGATGATTTGGTCTCCGCTGGATCTACTTCCCGGGAGCTCTCTCTTCTTTCTTATTGAAGAAGCTAAGCTGTTCTTCCTCCTGTTCAACTGTGAAAAATATCTTCGAAGGTTCGCAGGAATATGCTCTTTGCCTTTAGCCTGGCACTTGCCATTTCATCAGCTGCTGTTAGCTCTCCAGGGAACTTAGGGATTCACTGATGCTGTTGTTCACGAATCCCTTTCTAGTGGACTTGGCTAGACTAATTGCAGAGGATAAGTCGGCAGAGATTGCAACGTGGAATCCGGAGTGAAGACTTAAGCATTCAGTTCCCTTTCAACCGGTAATGCCGTATGCTAACACCCCCTCACGAGATGGAAAATGGTTGAAAGTAAAAAAAGTCAAGCAGGAAAGTCATCAGTCCCTCTTCATTCCATCCAGCCTGGGAAAAAACTGCATTGCTGAGGCGAGACTAGTTTTCCGAGAAGAGGTCGGTTAGGAATCAGTGTGATCAAAAGAGGAATTCAATCTTTCTTCAATTGACCCTCCTCAATGAAAAGCTTTTCGCACCGTCTCAACTACTTCTACTTAACAATTGGCCAAGACTTCTTCTAAAAAATGAATTCCGTCCGGGCCAATCAAAAGACAGCCTTTTTAACTAACTTCCATCTCAGTAATGGGCTGATTGAATCGCATCTTCTGGCCTATTCTTCTTCTTGTTGAAATTCTTGGCCCTTTCCAAAGTAGCTTCATCCCTGGCCGATCAAGCATTGAGAATCTTATCATTAGCCAGGAGGGGCCATTCATTCTTATTCATATATCAAGGGCTGGTAAGGTTGCCATTCATTCTATTAGGGGAAAAAGGGCTAAATTCAGGCTCTTCAAATCGATCTTGAAAAGGCATAGGCATATGAGAGGGTGAGATGGGATTTTGTCGAGAGCATTGGTAATCTTTTAGATTTCGGCTAAACGCTATCTCGCTACCTACGAGATGTGATTACCTTTACTTCGATAGCTCCTTAACCCGCCGAATACAACTATAGTAGCACCGGATACCGATTGGGATTAGCTCCTTCTCGGAATAGAATGGGGCAACAGTAACTATTTTTAAGGGAAAGCTCGTGTCAGGTCAAGCTGTCGTTTTGGTTGAATCGCTATTCTTCGGCCCGACCTATGGTAGTAGAAGTGGAGCCAAGGGTTGTTTGTTGATGTTCCTGCAAGCACGAGCGCCTAACATAAGAGTAGGTGCCCCACCACAGTGCCATTCCTGCCTAATTGAATCTCAATCGCTTTCTCTCATCCCACATCAATAGTGTTGTGCCCCATCGCATCGAGTGGCTTCAAATCAAAATGCATTCCTAATTAAAGAAAAGAGGCCATTGAGAAAGGGTTTGACTCGCCCAGATCCAGTTACATAAGACCGAAAGAATTGTCAATGAGATTTTTGATTCTATTTCCAAAGGCGAATCTCCATCTTTCGATTGGGACTTCTTAGTGGTCCTTGGCCATTCCTCCTTGACCCAGCTGTCCATCATGTCTTGTCTTAGAAGAGAGATGCCATGGCCCATGTTTGAGATTGTTCAGGATCAGTCAAGTCTTGTCTTCTTTTCTTTCAATTATGGTAGAGTGAGATGATAGCGATTCGAAGATGAGCCTTAGGAATTCTATAACTTACGTCGACCGGTAGGCCGACCTTCCTACGGGTTCCCCCACCGACCCAGTGATACACCAACCACGCGCCTTTCCTTTCTCCGATCATAAAGTCCCCCGATCTCTTTCTTTGTCTTTCATCCCCCCTGAACAGAATAAGTAAGGCCCCGTTCTTTCTAATTCAAAAAGAAAAAAAAATAGCTGACTTTCCTTTCTTCTTTGTGGCCCTCGAAATGATCTGGGATTAGATTAACAGACTATGGATGGGTCAAGACGTCGAGGGAGAGTACACCAACTAGTTGGCTATGTAAAAAGAGAGTGGGCTAAAGATTTTCTGAATATCTCTGCTTACTTTACTCACTGCCCTAGCGTCTTCTTCTAGTTCTGGGAATCAATTCCATTCTATGCCGGGTTCATTCCACTAGTTCCCCCAAATGCCGTTGACTTGGCTTTGTTGGTTGATGGGCGTAGGGTTCGGGATCAATCAGACCCTGCTCCTGCCACGACATTTGCGCATTTAGATGCTACTACTGTACTATCAAGAGGATTAGCTGCTAAAGGTATCTATCCAGCAGTAGACCCTTTAGATTCAACATCAACTATGCTCCAACCTCAGATCGTTGGCGAGGAACATTATGAAACTGCGCAAAGAGTTAAGCAAACTTTACAACGTTACAAAGAACTTCAAGACATTATAGCTATCCTTGGGTTGGACGAATTATCCGAAGAGGATCGCTTAACTGTAGCAAGAGCACGAAAAATTGAGCGTTTCTTATCACAACCCTTTTTCGTAGCCGAAGTATTTACTGGTTCTCCGGGAAAATATGTCGGTCTAGCAGAAACAATTAGAGGGTTTAAATTGATCCTTTCCGGAGAATTAGATAGTCTTCCTGAACAGGCCTTTTATTTGGTAGGTAACATTGATGAAGCTACTGCGAAGGCTACGAACTTAGAAATGGAGAACAACTTGAAGAAATGATCTTAAGTCTTTGTGTATTGACCCCGAATCGAATTGTTTGGGATTCAGAAGTGAAAGAAATCATTTTATCTACTAATAGTGGGCAAATTGGTGTATTACCCAATCACGCGCCTATTGCCACAGCCGTTGATATCGGTATTTTGAGAATACGCCTTAACGACCAATGGTTAACGATGGCTCTGATGGGCGGTTTTGCTAGAATAGGCAATAATGAGGTTACTGTTTTAGTAAATGATGCGGAGAAGGGGGTAGGGAAGGTTGAAAGTGAAGCCGAAGGAAAGAATCCGAGGAGAAGAGCCAGTGATGGCCTACTGTCCTTTATCTCTACACCGAACCTTAGGGTTACTTCACTACCTTTCCATCTTCATTGACCGAGTAGCTGGACAAAGAACAAAGGAGGGGACCAATCTCACCAATGGGGAGAAGACTTGCGGATTGATATGAAGATCAGAAAGATTTCTAACCTCAGAGACAGGGGGCATAGATTCTTCTGGGGTGTTCTCTGCAACAGATTTAGAAGTGGAAGCATTCTGGAATGTAAAATCTTTTGCATTCTTCTCAGCAGCAGATTGAGGTTATGAAAGAATTAAGCAAATAGGGAAAGCAGTGAAATGGGGGCATACCGGGAATAGAAGCAGTAAATCGGGCGAAGGCAAGCAACTAGCGACCGATTGCAACAAAGATCTTCCAAAATTGGAAGGAGCCCAGTACCAGTCTTAAAAGCCTAGCTGGAATTGGCACAATATCGCGGAGAAAACCTATTTGCGTAAACTAGGTTACCGTCGAAGAGATGTCTTTCCCCTGTCTACAGCTACACCAAATGTCATCACCTTTTCCGACGCCTCCCGAAGGATCGGATCATTCAAAGCCTTTAAACAAAACTCTTTGGACTCGGAAAGGTCTGGCAGCTACACATAGAGGAGATTAAGTAGAAGAGAAGAAACTACGCCCTTCATAGGAATAGGATCAACAACAAGGCTTAGGAAGAGCTGCAAGAGTATGAACTGGGATGGGGACAGACTTTGACAGAACTTCCCTCTTGTATCATCAAAGCGTAGCCAAGGACGCTCCGCCTTATCTATAGAAGCAGTCTCTCGTACAGGAATGCCGATTGGACGGAAAATTCGCAAGGCTTTTCACAAAAAAGAGAAAGGTTCAGTCCTCCGTCGGTGTTAACCTTCGAGAAATGGAAGTTTTTCGAAGGATGCCTCTAGGAATCTCCGGCACTTTTAACTTTATGATTGTATTCCAGGCTGAGCACAACATCCTTATGCACCCATTTCACATGTTAGGCGTAGCTGGTGTATTCGGCGGCTCCCTATTCAGTGCTATGCATGGTTCTTTGGTAACCTCTAGTTTGATCAGGGAAACCACAGAAAATGAATCCGCTAATGAAGGTTACAGATTTGGTCAAGAGGTGGACAGCTTGCTCTCCCTCAAGCCTATTCCCCTCCTGATCATGAATACATAACACCTTATTCCTAGATCTATTACCATTCATCTTTTTTTTATCCTGGCTTAAAAGACTCCTGCTTCAATGGTACTAGCGGGAATGAAAGAAGACTCGGACAATGCAAAGGAATAGATAAAGGGACGGGAAAGCAAGAATAGGCTGACATCATCATTTTTTGGATTCGCTACATGAATTAGTTCAGTGAGGGGGATCCGACTCAGATAGAAGGGGGAATAGACTGGAATCCTTTGGGGAAGAGATTGAAGATGTCTTGGCCTCAGCCACTCATAGAAGAGGAAGGGGAGTGAAAACTCTCACTAGGGGCTGTTAATATGTTATTTCTAGAGGAAGAAGTTACAGATCCTGGGGGAAGGAAGGAAAGCCGTTCATGACCGACTAGACTGACTCCTTATTTAAATAGTCATATGGAAAGTTATCCCCCTCGGGATAATTGGCCTACCTCAAATTTGCCTTCGTAGAGCATCGAAAAAAAGATCTCCTTTTATCCAACCCCATCTTTTTGGCTTCAAGTCTATAATACGAGACCACCCAAGCAAGGAAAGAGTCAAAGTCAAGCAGGACTGGCCTCTTTCTCTTCTACCGATCCTGACCCTACTGAAAACGAGGATCAGATCAGAAGGAAAGGCTACTGACTTGGCTACAAAACTAGGCCTTAACGTGGTGCTCGTAAAGCCGATAACCGCTTCACTCAACTCAGATAAAACTTACCATAGAACTCTAAACGCGCACTAAGGCTCACTCCTAATCCCGCCCGGGTTACCGTCCCATCGCCGCGCCCAACACGAAGCACCTGCATCGGAACGACCCGCAGGAGTTTGCTCGACACCAAGAACCGAAATGCATGTTGGGTTCATCGCTCCCGTACATTTCTTTCGCTCGGGGCCGCCAGCCACTCCTGGGCCGCACCCCCTTCCACCAAGCTCCCCAGAGCTATGAAAATATGATGTTCTGATGGAAAATCTTATACTTGCCGCCCGCTATGCCTCGGGAATACGAATTTGGTCTCGATCCACAAGCCTATCGGTAACTAAGGTCCGCATCCTTCTCTAGGAGCTTGTCATTCACTCGTTTTCATTCCGTTCCGTCACCGGCCGGAAGGGGAGCAAGCAAAGCAGGGCTCGGACGCTTCTTATCGACCACATTTGTTCCATTCTTTTCGATTCCGTATCTCCTCCCTCCCCGGCCCATTTGGTCTGCATGTCTCACCGAGCGTCAAGTGGTCAAGACAAGTGAGTAGGAATAGGGATAAGGTAAGCCAGGCACAAGGTACTCGTCCGTTCTGGAAAAAGGACCGAGCCAATCAAAGAGTGAATGATCCAATGGGTCGAGGGATACCATCCGACTACCGTGTCAACTAAGCTCTTATGGACCTGGGCCACTTTGCCGATCGACAATCGCTTGAATCTCGACAAGTAGTTCATTTACGCATCCTATCGACTTCGTAGACGGCCCTCTCCCGTCCGGGCGAGTTGACTCCCGCGAGCCGAGAACATCGCATCCAACACCGATTGAACTCCGGAATCCGCCGAGTTTAGGCCCACCTGCCGTATCTGATTCCTCTAAAAGAAGAAATAGAAGTAACGGCGAGAGTGGGTCCCGTCGCACTTACTTCCCGGCCAGAGGAGAGGTTTCAGTCAACCGCTCGCCCCTCTTCCGGCTTCGCGCAAGGGCTCAAGCCGTGCGCCCGAGACTCTCGTGCCTGGGTTGAAGCTGGGACCGTTGAGCGAGTCACCACTTAGGACCGTGAGGTGAGCAAGCTTCTAATATTTCACACTTCCGGAATCACTTTCGAATCTGATCCCTGGACGGACTAGGCCCTCCAATTCATGAAAGAGGTGAAGGAGGATAGGCTCTGACTTTGAAGCCCGGTCTCAGGCAAGAAAAGAGAAAGAAAGAAAGACAATCACGACTGTCTGGTCTGTCCGTTCCTCAAAGCAAGGAGCGGAACCCTACCTATGATGACTCACTTTAGGTTGAACCTGATCTGAGATCTCTCCCGTCTTCAAAAACCAAGCAATGAAGCCAACTCTCACCTTCGATTGATAGATGAAGAGCCCCGCCAATGAAAGTTGAGAAAGATTTGGCATCTTGAAATGAAGCTAAGAGCGCATCTGGTCTTCACGAAAAAAGCGACGGGTTACGGGCTCATCTCATATGTCCGATTCAGGCATCTCTCTTATTGACGCAATTGGAAGATCAGGATTTTTTTCTCAAGCGGGATCAGATCCGGCTTTAGCGAGAACAGCTGTAATTGAATCGGGAACGGAAAGACTTCAAGTCAGAAAGTCAGCCTGAGAAAAAGCCCTTTCTTGATCTATGATATTTGAAGAGATTGATTTTGATCTCTTAGAGGCGCCCTTCGCTTTCGTCATTCAATTGAGGTCTAAAAGTAGATTCGGGAACGGACCCGATTCATGAACAGGGGAAGCATAAACTATAGATTCTCCAATCCCTTGACTTTCTCTTCTCTTGGTGGTGAATGAGTTAACCCACTAGAGGGAATCGGCCAGCCGCGCCCTTCCATTAGCAGTGAGCTTTAGTCGACCAGAGGAAACTGGGGCATAGGTGAAGGAACGAGAGCCACTCCACTATCTCCTCGGGCAAGTCTTCTTCCAGCGCTGGCCCTGTTTCGGCTTATAGCAGAGCAGCAGACAGGTGAGAAAGAGGAGGAAGCCCAAACGAAAGAAAGCAAGAACGAAAGTCTGTGATATACGAGATGGGAATGGAGTTGTCCCAACCTGTCTTTGATTCCAGGATCGATAGCAGCTCGACTTCCGGCATTGATGAGCTAGAGGAGCAAGCAGAACGGGAAAACAGGGACAGAGGCAATGAGTTCCACTGCCATCCATTACTTCAGTTAAGTGCACGCCTTCCGGTAAAGGAAGTCCGGGGAATGCCATCAAGTAAGAAAGCAGCAAGTTCAGTCTTTTCAGGTGAATGGGCGAGCTGACCGCAGAAACCGTAGACTTCCATGATGAATCCACCTTAGCCACCTCCGATCAGACAGAAAGATGCGATCGTTAGAGATTCAAGATTCCCGGTTGGACCTATTCAAGCGATTGAACGAGATACTCGACAACTAGAAAGACGCACTTGAATACTGAATGCTATGAGTCGAGAGAGAAAGAATGAATATCACCAACCATAAAGACGATAAAAGAAGGCACTCCCGTTCCCCCGAAATCATCTTCTGTGCGTGGTTATCCAATCATGATGTGGTAGGCTTAGTAGGGCTCGAACCTACAATATAACCGTTATGAGCGGTACGTTTCAACCAATTAAACTATAAGCCCCTACGGATCTCTACATGCAATTCGCTCACTTCGGGAAGAGCGGACGGAAGGCAAGGGGAGGCCTTTGCTCTATCTGCTTCTTCCTCTTCTCAGGAATGAAGAATTAGATAAAAAAAATGGATTATATTATTATATATATATAATTATATATCTATTATTAATTATAATAATATAATTAAGCAAGCGGCCCTTTTGCGACTCAAACTGCCGGTACGCTTTCCGGCTCGCAACGACTCAAACGGGCGGAGGCTCTCTATTTGCTTGCAATGCCGGCTGTTCGCCTTTAGTTAGAAGTAGAAGTCGCTCTTTGCCCCACACTTCTAAAAAAGTATGGATTAATTAAATTAAGTAAGAAAAAAGAAAAGAATAAGGAGTAAGAAAGCAATAAAAGTTCAGAGGTAGTAAGGGCGAGTGCCTTGTACCGCTTGGCACTGGGGACTCAGAAAAGAGTCGGCTTCTTCTTTTAAACTCCAAAGCTCGCAGGTTTTTCCGATAACACGTTGTGGCCGCAAGGACCATCTCACATCGAGACAACAAATTTCTTACTGGTATTTGAGAATGCAGTTAAGGTGGTTAATGCTCCGCGAGTGATAGCTAGGCCAAGAGAACCCTTTCCCCGATACCGTAAGATGCGTTTTACAGCCTGGAGATGTACGGTGGTGAGAGCGTGCATGAACTGACAAACTTGATTGACAGCATAGCAGATGTCAGATCTGGTGAGAGTGAGGTACTGAAGGGCGCCAACAATGCTACGATATTCTGTTGCATCAGAGAGAGGCCTCGTATGCAGAGAGCTTTGAGCCAGACGCAAGGGGTGTGGGACATGGCTTGGAGTCTTGCATATGAGTGCGAGTAAGCAGATCCAAGGTGTATTTAGTCTGAGTCAAGACTAGAAAAGTCGATGTACGTTTGGCTTCGATTTCCAAGAAAGATGAACTTAAGTCAACTAATGCTTAAGACATCAAAGTTCGGACATCTAAGCCAGTTCAGGTCCTTCCATCTCAATAGCTTTCAAAATCGAGTGATTAGCTTACATCGGAGGATGGTCTAAAGCTGGCCCTTCCTAGTCCGCTTAGTCGGTTGATTAAAAAAACTCGGATTTGGTCGAGTAGTGAGTTTCACTTTCTCTTACGCAGCAAGCCTAGCCTACTTTCGAAAAGTAAACAAGGCCTTACGTTTACCGTTGTTCCCAGCCCATGGCGTATACCACCATAGCAATAGCATAAGAAGAATCCGCATATTTGTAGGGAAAGAGCCTCGCTCCTAGCCTCTAGACTGAAACTTCACCTTCAAGCAAGGCTTGAGAGCAAAGGAACCTGGGTACGGTCGAATAATCCAACCTTGGCTTGCTTGCCTGAGCCTGCCTTGCATACTGATTTCCGTTGGTTCTTGGTTTTGGTAAGGTTTTCCTCTTCAAGTAGTAAGGCTTTGCATTCGCAGGAACTAGCCCGTTGCGGTAACATCGTTCAGTTCATAGGGTTGTGATTCGAGGAGTTCTCTTTCGGTACCCTAGAGTACAGAGTTTACTGCTTTGCGGAACAGTCTATGGACTGCCTTGCTTGATCATCCTATCAGTCATGGTAACGGATTGAGTATCTCTTCTTCGGTAGCTGGTTTGACTGTTTGTGATCGAACAAAACAAGAGCAAGATATATCGTAGTAAAGTGGAGCTAGACTGCCCGATTGGCTTGTAGGAGTTCCAGTTCGGAACCGAGCGTCAACCAAGGGCCAGAGAGGAATGGTGCGGATGCCGGACCTTCTGGCACACCAAGCTCCTCCTCATGGGAGGAAGATTCATTCGGATTACGGGTCCTTGAGGAGTCGTCTTATGGCACAGACACATCAAGAGAGGGCCCGCTGGAGCAGGCGGCTATACCTTTTCCTCCTGCTAATCCAGTCGCTTCCCCGGAGGCGGCTCAAGAGGCGCTTCCGCAAGCGCCAGCACCCGCTGAAGCTGCCCATCCCGTTCCTAACCAAGAGGAGGTTGCGGCACTCAGAAGGGAACTTCATGTCTTAATCCAAGAACAGATTCGTGCAGAATCCGAAAGGGGGCGGGGTCCGCTGTCCACTCAGTTTCCGGAACAGAGGGAATTCAATTCTGAAGCCGCCCACAATCTAATGGCGCAGCTGGAGCTCTCTGGGGAGACTGACACGGATAGTCTCCGCGAATGGGCGGAGAGAATAAGAGGAGATCCAAGTCTCCTCAAACCCCTTATTGTGGATTATTTACCCCAAAAGTAGTCCGCTGCCGTTAGCACCTTTTTTAGTACTCCTTGAGCAATGAATCGAATCCTATCAATAAAATCTTTATATTTCTCCTTTGAATTACTCATATATATCCTATTCATTTCGCACCGGAAACTATTCTAGGAGAAGTTCGAATCCGTTCCGTTCGGATATTGATCGGTCTTGGTTTGACATGGTTTACGCGTTACTGGTTCCCGGAGGAGTTAATATCTCCATTAGCTAAACCCTTTCTTACCCTGCCTTTGGACTCGTATTTTGTTTGTACACAATCAACGGAAGCCTTCCCGACATATGTTGCAACGTCTTCAATAGCATGCTCTTATTTCGTCTTTCCTTTAATAAGTCATCAAATTTGGTGCTTTTTGATTCCCAGTTGCTATGGGGAACAAAGGACGAAATACAATCGATTCCTCCATTTAAGTGGTTTTCGCTTCTCCTTGTTCCTGTTCCTAACTCCTCCCCGGGTAGTTCCCAATGTTTGGCACTTTCCATACTTCGTGGGTGCAACATCAACAAATTCGCTCATGATCAAGTTACAACCTAAGATCTATGACTATATTATGTTAACTATTCGTATTTTGTTCATTCCATCGGTATGCTCCCAGGTACCTGTAATTGTGATCCGTTTGCCAGAACCGAGGGGTCTTTCTGTGGAAACCTCCACGAACAATCGTCGTTTTTTGATGGTTTTTCCGCTTCTCACAGCTGCTCTTTTCACACCTCCGGATATCTGGTGCCAAATCGTCGCCCGTTTCCTTATTTCTTTGATAATAGAGTTGGCTATCTTTGTGGCATCGATTGTACAAGTTCGTGAAGAGGTCTGGACGAGTGGAATGAGGGGGAGCGGCTCGATCGACAAAAAAGAAAAGGAGCCCCCCTAGAACCTGGCAAAGTAACTATCAATGAATTCCCGAGAAATTCTCAACCAACATATGCGATTCATCCCCGTAAAGATTATAACACACAGAAGACTCCTTACCTTAGCCTTAGGAGCGGGATGAGTGATGCATCCGGCGAGCGCCGGTGAAGAACGCAAGCAAAGCTAGAGTGGGAGGAACTTTTCTCATTAAAATGGAGACCCCCTTACTCTCTCTATAAAAAAAGCTTTCGGGAAGCGCGAAGAGCTAAGCCACTAATGTCGTGGCGAAGGTTATACCTCAGAAAGTCAGCGAAGAAACTAAGGTTTCATATGTGTTATATCCTTTCGATCGAGCGAGAACTTCTAAGGACGGCTTTCATTCCCTTTTTAAAGAAGTAAAAAAAAAGCGCGCTAAGGAAAATGGAGAGAGAGAAGATTGCAGAAGTGCTTCTAGATCTCATGGAATAAGGCAGAATTTAAAACAACACTTTCCATCTCATAGAAAAAAAGAATTTTTGAGCTGAAATCCTGATTACATTACCGCAGGCCAAAATTGAATTTGGAAGAGCAAGCCAGAAAAAAGAAGCTTTGATATAATATACCTGATGATGTGGGTAAGGTACACAAATTGATTTCCATTTCCAGGTAAAATGAGCGGAGACGAGTTTATCAACACACCCCCGTAGTCGGTTCCCTCGTAAAAGTTGGGTAGGAACTGAGCTTGTAGAAAGATCCCGTTGATCTTCGGGCTGGCCCTTGCCTATGGAAAGAATGGTGTCTCAGAAAGTTGTTGAATGCCTCAACTTCGGATGAGGACTAGCTAGGATTAGGATCAAAACACCATTTAAGGCACATTTGAACCTAATTAACTGAAGCAGATGCAGGATCCGAAGTCTTCGACTCAGGCTCAGACGAACCGAGAGTCCTGTCTATCCTTAGTCACAGCGAAAGACTTCTACTTTTGAGCTATACCTCTGCCCATAAAAACAGGACTTTTTGATCTAAAAAAAAAGAAAACGCCCACTATAGGATGGACTTCTTGCTCAGTTTCGTGGTCAGAAGATCAACATTCAGAGTAGCATTTTTTTTCAGGAAGATATGCCCTTCTTGGTTCATTCCTGAGTTTTCTTTCGCCCTTTTCCCGCGCTTAGCAGGCTCGGTATGATATGGTTATTGATTCCCATTTTCAAGAATAGGGGAAATTCGAAAACAACTGTAAATGTAGGTGCAGATACGAACTAGAAAGCACCATTGCATAGGGAAGGCTTTCTCTGCCAATGAGTAGGCTACACTAGTCTACGGGTACCTAGTCTTTAAAGTGGGCGAGGCTAACCCTAAACTTTCTTCTCAAAAAGAGGTCAATCTTCCTGATCAATAGCTCTAGATCTTTCAAACAATTGATTTGGTAGGGTACCCTTTCTTCATAGAAAGGGCATTTGGCTTTCCTTTTCTTTCTAATGAAGGGTTCGTTAAGGGCCTCTCTTAGACTTCTTTCCTTCCATTTCTTGCTTATTTAGATCGTGTTTTGAAATGAAATCCGTCTTTCTTTCAGGTTGTCTTTCTGTTGTGTTCCTGGAATAATGGTATACAAGAATAGATTGCCTTTTAGGAGTGGAATTGGGTACCTGTCCCAAGGTTTTCCGCGAAAGACCTACCTTAGATCTCGACTGTGATCCCTGGGTACCCTCGAGGAGAGGCTGGGGAATGTAGTTACGGGAGTTGGAGTGCGATTAGCCCGTTCGTTAGATCAAGGAGAGGCGGGATGTAGTTGGCTCTTGTCTTGAGGTCACGGGTTGCATTGGTAGCCAGAGACAGGTGGTTACGAGTTTCATCCCTTAGTGCTTAGAGAGAGGGTGAAGAATGGCGCCCAAGGGATGAGATCTTAGCTCGTTGTGACCGATATTTGTCTTTGTTTTGGCTGCCCTGGCTTGTATCGCTAGTTAGAAAGGTCTAGTAAGGTAATGTCTGAATCCTTAGGCACTTAGAGTGATTCGAAACATTCTGAATTTCAACAAATGAGATTTTTGGTCGTGCTGATTGACGAAGCCTTTTCTTGAATGATTTAACTTCCCTTTCTCGGACTACTTGAAGCTATATTCCTATCTTGATCTAGGCGTACTTCCTTGCCTGATCATGGTCAAAGCCGAAAGACTACTATTGATCGATTGCCTTTTCCTGACGGAGTTGCTCGATGCCCTTGCTTTTGACCGCGAAAGGTTGAACATTGAGAGCTGACTACGATAGATATCTCATGCCTATCGGACTAGCTTGGAGGGCGGACTACTTGATTGATGCATGAACTGACCCTTCCTTTGACTACCTTCCTAGCTCTCCACCCTTCTTATCTGACTACTCTCAATCACCTGAGTCAACTGGGCGGACATCAGCTATCTTCCGTATATCAGCTTGCCTTCCATTGATCTGTCATGTCTTCAGACAGCGGACTACTTGAAGCGCACTTCCAACTCTCAGCTTTCCTTTGATCCCTTCCCTTGAGAATCTTACAAGCTCGGATCTCGGTTTTCCTTTCTCTCGAGCTGCTTCTCCGATCCCTTATCCGTTAAGTAAGATAAGCTCTTTACCCTTCCTTTTCCCGCCCTAGGACATGAACTGCCCGCCCTGCCTTCAAAGGCGAGTTTGAAGATAGAGTAGACCTTTGCTCTATGTAACAAGAAATTGAAGATTCCATATCATCCCTGGTGTACAACTCCTCAAAGAAAGCAGGCGAAAAAGGTCAAGAGGATAGGCCACTGATGAAGGATTTCTCGAAAAGTTTTCTCTAATGAAGGTGCTTTTCAAATGACTCAATATTTATTCCTCATAATTAGTCCTTGTGATGCAGCGGAACCATGGCAATTAGGATTTCAAGATGCAGCGAGCCCTATGATGCAAGGAATAATGGACTTACATCACGATCTCTTTTTCTTCCTCATTCTGATTTTGGTTTTCGTATTATGGATCTTGGTTGGCGCTTTATGGCATTTCCACTATAAAAAGAATCCAATCCCGCAACGGATAGTTCATGGAACTACTATTGAGATTCTTTGGACCATTTTTCCTAGTCTCATCCTTATGTTCATTGCTATACCATCATTTGCTCTCTTATACGCAATGGACGAGGTAGTAGTAGATCCAGCCATTACTATGAAAGCTATTGGACATCAATGGTATTGGACTTATGAGTATTCAGACTATAATAGTTCCGATGAAGAGTCACTCACTTTTGACAGTTATATGATTCCAGAAGATGATTTAGAATTGGGTCAATTACGTTTATTAGAAGTTGACAATAGATTGGTTGTGCCAGCCAATAGTCATCTACGTCTTCTTGTAACATCTGCTGATGTACTTCATAGTTGGGCTGTCCCTTCCTTAGGTGTCAAATGCGATGCTGTACCTGGTCGTTTAAATCAGATCTCTATTTTGGTACAACGAGAAGGAGTTTACTATGGTCAGTGCAGTGAGATTTGTGGAACGAATCATGCTTTTATGCCGATCGTCGTAGAAGCTCTTTCTTTGAAAGATTATTGTGATTGGGTAGACATTCATCAATTTTAAGAGGGGATGGGACTATCCGCGGATTCAGTCGCATCAAGCTCATCAACCGACTCTACCGCGGATTCAGTCGCATCAAGCTCATCAACCGACTCTACCGCGGATTCCGTAGCATCAAGCTCAGAAATCGACCATGTTGTCAGGGAGCTTGTAGCGTATTGTGAAGCTCCACCTAAGGACCCGGCCCCGGATTCGTTACGCTCTGAAAAGAAGAAGTGAAAAACCTTTGTAATATGGGAAGGGAGGAAGCCCGGCCCCAAAAGCAGGTGAACGACTACATAGAATCCTTAGCCATAGAAAAATCCTCAGTAGGATTTTGTAACGCTCTCTTAGAGAGAGTACGGTCTTTTCAAAGTGAGCACTATAATAACGGAAATCCTACACCGTTTCCCTTCGATTCGGAAGAGGATCAAGCTAAGCTGTTCTCCATTATGTGGGAGTATAGCGGCGACCAAGATAAAGAATCTTTCTTTTTTACTACATGTCGTACGGAACGAGCCTTGTCTACGAAGGAGAGCGACCTCATCTTGCTTGCTTCTGGCGAAGCTTCTAGAAGAGAAGGCCTACTACTACAATAAATAGGAGCGATAGGAAAGCCAAGCAAGCCAGGCGAAGAGCTCGTATAGCAAGCAAGCCTACTTATAGCCCTCTTTTCTTTTTCCGCGGGATTCAACAACTCTATATACAGCACTAAGAAATGGCCCGCTCTTCTTTTCTTTTTTTTTCAAGTTCTGTTTCAAAAGTCCACAAGGAGCGCAGACTAGCTGGAAACGGGTTCCCGATCGGAGTGAACAAGTGGTTCACTAAAGGTGAGTTGTTCTCACCACGCTACTCTATCTACGCTATTATAAGCTTCGGAAGATGGTTGAGGTTTTCATTTTATCTCACTGCCGATCCACGAACTACTCTTTTCACTCTATCTAGGACATTTTCTTAGCAGCAGAAAGTCCTCCGGCCGGAAAGAAAGAGGATTTGAGGGGCATTCCATTCTTCCCATATGATATGCTAGGAGGTCTTGTCTTACAAGGAACTCATGCGTGGGTGCGAGAATGCCATTACCTTCGATACGGTCGATGAGCAAGTCCTATGCGCTCGTCTAGACCAATAATCAATAGAGACGGAAACTCCCTTACGAAAGCCACTTGAAGGCGAAATGAACTTCTCGATCTAAAACAAGTCTTTGGGGACCTATTCTTCTCATACTTTATTTTGACCAATGGGTCAGTGCCCGGATTGGTCGAAGAAAAGAAAACGAGACTTAGCTTATGCGGCACACATGCTCTGAAGCTCACTTTTACGCTCGATGATTCCCAAGGTGTGTTCAGTTAGAGATTAACGTTAAAAAGAAAGAGAGCGTTCAGGTGGTCGAATGCATTTTTCTGTAGCTTTCCTGGGCCCTACTTTGTTTATGTATGCGTACGTGTAAACGCATTTACTTTCTCTGAGGGAACATAGGGAGCGGTAACGGATTCGCTTAGAAGTTCTCGATACTAAGTTTGCCGGAAAGCACTTTGAGTATAAGAGCTTGGGTCCCCGTATCCTTTGTTTGCCTTTTTACCTTCGGTAGGAAACCATTATGGAAAGTGATCACACGAAAAGCAAAAAAGCGCTCTTCCTTCCGGCTTCTGGAAAGACTTGAGCCGATAGACGAACATTGGTCAATTTCAATTAAAGGTCGGCTACTAATTACAATTGTTGGATTGAAAGCATCTCTCTTTCCGATTTCGTTTTCGAAGGAGTTTTCTCGTATTCTGTATTAGCTCCTTCCACGAATGAATAAGGTAAGGCTTCGATCTTTCGCTTTTGAGTTCGTCCGGAAGCTCTAGTATGAGCCGGTGATTCCAGTCCGTCTCGGATGGAACTCCCACCTAAAAAGTCCTTAGTCTCTTGTCGAACATCTCACCCAGGTAATAAAATTTGGAGCATCGGTACTCGCCAGAGTTACAAGTCGTTAAGCGACGCGAAAGAGTTGATCCATCGGATTGGGATTAGCCAGTCTTTGAGCTAGCCCTAATTGAATCTACCAAATAGGCTAAAGAAGGGAAGCACCAACCATTCATTTGT